GGCAGCTAGGCCTCTGATCAGGAGATTGGATGTTTCGAGTAGCGTGGAAGTACATTTAATTGCTGTTGTTTCGACTTGATTACTCCAGTTGTCTTAATTTTGATGCATAGTACTGATCATTAATGGATTTCCCCATTTACAGGGCGTCTATCATGATTACGTCTTCAGAATAATAATAATAATAATAATAAAAATAGAAACCGTCACCTTGACAACAGACGCTGCCTGCTTGAACTTCATGGATAGAGACGTAGAGTGTTTCCATTGTTTGCTCAGAATATTCGATTCGGATTCGAAATGGTGAACCCAAGTTTCATTTTGAGTTAATAATCTACCGTGGAAATTCTCAGGGGTCTGCATGGAAGCGAGTCAAAAGTGTTCTGGAAATGTCAACCATTTTGATTTTCTTTTCTAGTCTCAATTTTTTTTACACATCCTGTAGACAGTTTTCTCATCCCCAAGATCTCAGTTAAAACAGTATGAACTCAACCATAACTAATACCTTTGGACGTAGCTACCTGTTGGACAGTAAGACGGTCTGTCATCCAAAATCATACTGTGAACGGCATCGACTTGTTCAGCAATGGTTGAGGTTTTTGAAACGACCTGACCGAGGCTTTTGTGCTGTCCATGCCTCCTTTGAATTCAGCTGACCACAGTTGCATAGAAAGGGGAATCCTCAGCAAGATCCTGTATCATCTCTTCATAGATTTCTTTGGATGTCATATCTTTTTTTTACAGATTTTTCACAAAACCTCTAACTTTTCTATGGGCCTCGCCTGCACAGAAATTAAGACCGGAATATGAATTAATTTTTCTAGTTTTATAAGAAGTTTTAGTGTGCTATCACAACAAAAAACGTTCATATCTGGACCGTTTTTCTGGGTGAGGCTTAGAACTTTTTGAACGAGCCTCATAATCGTTTTTTTTCCGATTGAAAGCTATATCGAGTAATCTCGGATTAGTCGCCGTGAAATTAGCATTTAATTGCTCTTAGCAGTTCGCGACACATTGTCGATGAAGAGATGAACGATTCATTAAGAAGAATTTTCACGAGAAGTAATTGGATGCAGAGAGGGCGTGTGCATTTGTTCACATGTCTATATTTGAAGAAAAAATGGCGGGCAAGTATATATTAGAAAAAATGGTAAGACATCTTGTCACCGAATTAACAGAAGAATTTATTTGAACAAAAATGGAATTTGTTGATAAAGATTTAAAGAAATGAAACGTTTCTTTTTTTTTGTCTCCCAGTTGTCCTTGTGCCATAGTGAGTTCAGCTTGATAAGCATTGTCGGTTTACCAAATGAATAGACAACGTAGTGGGTCACCGCAGGTTCTAAATAGCTGTGACCTTACGCTGTAATCACAGCGGCCCTTCGAACTTTTCAAAATGGTCTTCAAAAATGATGTCTAGTAGTGGCATTTATACGCTCCGTTGCGTTCTCTTTAATCTCGCCCACTGTCCGAGATCTGCCTTTAGCTCTGGGAAAGGAAACGGAAGTCGCCAAATCTAAATTGTAGAGCGAAATGACAGAATTGTGCGTGTGGTGGGCGTAGTGGGTAGCAATAAGAGACGTAAAAGAATATCGGAAGTTTGAGAAATTAGATATGGCTGGGAACTTTCCGGACATTCCGTTGAATCCCCGGATGGTCTGATTCAGGCACTGTCAATCATCGAATTCCTTTGATTGCAACCTGCACATGTCCAAGATTTTCGGGTGAAGACCTTCCAGAAGGTGGACTAAAATTCCCTCCGGATTTCACGTATTGAATCATCCTCGAATTAGATCATCCCTCGAACGAACTTGAGGCATATCCGATAATCTATTCTTCCGACACGGGCGAGTGCTTCCACATGTGACGTAAATTTGTCAAGCTACATCAAGACCGAGTGACAGGTTCTTGAAATATTCAAAACAGCTTGATACTTTTTGGACAGACTTCATTAATGAAATATTCAGTGTTGTAAAGACAGGCTAGCGTGAGTGGTTTTTAACAGATGTACTATAGGTCAAAATTTTGGGGTCAGCCTTTGGAATTAATGTTTTTTTGAAAAACATTTCACCTCAAACAAGGCAATAAAGCCAATAAGACTCAAGGGGTTACTGAGTGAGTGAGAGAGAGAGAGAGAGAGAGAGAGAGAGAGAGAGAGACAGGGAGAAAGTGTGTGCGTGTGTGTGTGAGAGAGAGAAACAATTAATGAGACGGAACAATAAAAAAAAACGGGAATTAAGGAGACAAAAGATAACGATTGACATTGCATTTATATTTATGAAGAACGAAGCTGTCTGGGAAGCAAGAATCCGGAAGAGGGTTCCACAAGCGAGGAGTGCAATAGAAGAAACTGTTAGCATAGAACTTACGGTTGCACCTAGCCATTTAAAGTATAGAGCTTTTAAAATTGTTTCACCACCAAGCAAAGCAACAATACCACTAGAATGCAGAAGGTTACAAGGAGTGAAAGTGAAAGTGAAAGAAAACGAGAAGTCTGAGAAATGGGACGATTGAGGTAAGGACAAAACAAGGAGGCAGAAGATTGCGTTTAAAGTTTTGAAGATTGTAGTTATCAGGAAAATATGAAATCGGAAAGGAGTTCCACAGGTGGGAAATGCGATAAAAAAAATCAAAGTAGAAGTGGCTGTAGCATCTAGCTAATTCAAGTGTAAAACAGTGAGACTTAGTTGCCAATCATAGCAGCACACTTAAATTTATGTTGTCGGAGCACAGTGGAAAAAGAAGCTGGTCAGAGCAGTTGCCATGAAAATATTTGTAGTCAAGACAGAGGGAAGCCACTTCACGTCGGTGTGAAATTGAGTGGAGACGTGATGCCTGAATTTTGTCAATAATGATGTACATCAGGAGCAACAGACCAGTATAGCAACAGATTAGTAAGTGATAGTTTCTTTGGTTGAATGAAACTGGATCAGGAGTTCACAACAGCAAGAGGGAACATCATTTCAAATTACAGCTAGATACATTCTTATTTCTCAAAGTAGAACCCAATAGTGTCACAATTCAGCGAATTCCAGTAAGATATCTTTAATCATTTTTAAGATATAACGGTTCAAAGCTTAATCCAATAATTGGACAATTTTGTTGTTACACCCGGTATCTATCTATCTATCTATCTATCTATCTATCGATGTCTTGTCATGATCTATCTATCTATCTATCTATCTATCTATCTATCTATCTATCTATCTATCTATCTATTTCAGTCTGTCCATATCTATCTATCTATCTATCTATCTCAGTCTTGTCATGATCTATCTATCTATCTATCTATCTATCTATCTATCTATCTATCTATGTCTTGTCATGATCTATCTATCTATCTATCTATCTATCTCGGTCTTGTCATGATCTATATATCTATCTATCTATCTATAGACTCGATGAATTACTTAATTATAATTATCTAAAATCCTCTTAATTTCTATTACTTGTATATCCTTGCTTGAATCGGCTTCTAATGCTCTTGACTGGGCAGCTTGGGGGTAGTAGTCGTGGCTTGTGGGGGTACAGTCACATGGGTAAAAGTGAAACTCAGATGAGTTCCACCACGGAGTATGTGAGCGAGTGGGGAGAAGTAGAGGATTAATATCTTTACCAAGGGTAACAGCACGTAAGTGAATGTACTGGATTCAACTGGAATTCGAACTCGGCTCTCCGATTTCTCAATCCGAGCCGCTATCCATTACTCCACCGTGCCCGACTACATGAATTTAAGCGTGCTACTAGATTGGCATCTAGGTCCCAACCTTTTACTGTTGAAATAGCTAAATGCAACTGCCACGTCTACTCCAACAGTTTCTTTTTGCACACTTTTGAACTTTGGAACTCTCTTCCGTTTCTTTGCTTCTCTGGTAGCTAAAATCTTCAATGTAACGTAAATCGCCATCTTCTATCTTCTTGAATCTCGTTGATATTTTGTCTTTTCTTCAATTCTCGCTATACTCATTCTTTTCGCTCACTTTCACACCCTGCACCTCCCCCACCGCGTACTAGCAGCATTTCGGCCTTGGTTGGGTGAAATTATAATACACACACACGCGCGAGCGCAACCCCATATATATATATATATATATATATATATATATATGATGGATATATATATATATATATATATATATATATATGATGGACTCTCCCGTTTTTCGACGTATGAGGTTCCGACAACCTTTAATGACCCTTATGTTTGAATCTAGAGTGACATTTCAGACCTACTAATGACTTGCAAAGAAAACCACAGATTGGGCAAGCGTGTGAGCAAAAAGGGTGCACTTCTCTGGCACCTTCTGAGGCTTTTTTCCTTTCTCTTGCTTCACGGAGCTTGACAACGCTTGCCGCCGAAAAATTCCTGATTCCAGTGTATGTTACACTTTTCCAAGCTTTGCGATCCAAGGCAGTATTCTCCAAATCAGTGTGTGCAATATTTGAAGCTGCAAGGTTACTTTTCAGCTTATCTTTAAACCTGAGCAAGGGTCGGCCAACATTCCGTTGACCACCTTCAAGCTGGCTGTACATGAGAATCTTTGGAATTCTACCATCTTACATCCGTACAACATGACCGGCCCATCGTAACTGTGCCCTCATGAGGAAGCTCTCAATTCCGTCAATGTTACACATCGTTAGAAGGTCGGCATTGATTTTTGTCCTGCAGGGTTAGTCCACAGATTGCTCGGAGACAAGGAAATTTCCAGGTTAGTGTCTGGAGGCGCAGTTAGACCACTGGGTAAGATGAAGCTCTCAGCCTTTGTTAAGGCATTCATCTAGGAGAAAGAAAAGAAATATATATATATATGATAATGGAAATATATATATATATAAATATAAACCTATTTATGATAATAGAAAAAGATTTAGAAATATAAATAGGGCTAGCTAATTTCAGCACAACGGCTTCAATAGTAGAAAAAAGAAGAAGAAGAAGAAGAAATCTAAAAGAAGAAAGAAGAAAAGAAGAAGAGGAGTATTTCAAGAAGGGAAATAACGGCTTAAAAGAAAGAAAAAGAAGAAGAAGAAGAAGAAGAAGAAGAAGAAGAAGAAGAAAGAAGAAAAGAAGAAAAGAAGAAGAGGAGTATGAGAAGAAGAGGAAATAGGAAAAAACAGAAGAAGAAGAAGAAGAAGAAGAAAAAGAATATGAGAAGAAAAAGAGGAAGTGTGGATAAAGAAACGGAAGAAGAAGAAGAAGAAAGAAAGAAATAAAGAACAAGTAGAAGAAAGAAAAACTTAGAAGGAGACAGAAAAACTAAAAGTAAGAAGTAGAAAAAGAATGAAAAATCTTCCTTTCTTCTTATTTCTTCTTTCAAAGATAAAAAAAGAAAGAAAGAAAGAAAGAAGAAGGAGAATAAGAATGAAGTAAGAAAGAAAGAACAAGTAGGGAAAAGAGAGAATTAGATGGAGACAGAAATAAAATAGGAAGAAGACAAAAGTAGAACAATAAGAAAGAAAAAGAGAAAGAAAGAAAGGAGAAGTGAGGAGAAGAAAGTAAGAAAGAAAGAAAGAAACAAGCAGAAAGAGAAAGAATTAGGAGACAGAAATAAGATAGGAAGACGACAAAAGAAGAAGAAGAAAAAACGAAAGAAGAAGAAAGAACGAGTGGAAGAAAGAAAGAAGTAAAACAAGAAAGAAAAAGTCTTTGTTCTTGTTTCTTCTTCTTCTTCTTCTTCTTCTGAAGAAGAAGAAGAAGAAGAAGAAGAAGATCTTTATTGCCTCTTTCCCTTATTTCACCTCGCTTTCTTCATACGGGGTTGTCTTTCGTTCTGGCCTGAAGACGCCTACTCTGAAGAGGTATATATATATATATATATATATATATATATATTCATCATTTTATATATTCATCTTAATTGGTCTACGCAAGAGTCCTCATTAGTCATTAGCGAAAAACAAAACTGATGATAATCAAAAGTTGTTTATTATTTTGAAGATAAGACATTGAAGTTGGTGCCTAGTTTATAATTGAAAATTTTGTTTGCCTCGGAGCCATTGCTTTGTTCGCCATCGACATTTTGTTATCATAGTGTCAAAAAGATGAATGCGTTCGCAAACAGCCACACACGCACAATAATGTTGACACTAATTAACGACATAGAACGTCTGCATGCAGGCGCGTATCAACAGACACGCATGCGTAGGAATATACACGCGTACGTAGACGGTGTGTAAGAAAAGTATCCGGCACTTTTGAATCTCGAAAACCATTTGTGTGGCCTTGATGTTTGTAAATGGCAGACCTCAAATAAAACGCTCTCCTATGGGGTTACTCAGTCGACAGTAAGAAGCAATTTACTCAATGACTGAATGAGTAGATACTTCAGGTCTCCTATCTTTTTTGGGGTGGGGGGAAACATTGTATTACCGAGATCTGTCAGTTATCTGCGTAAAATTTACTTTACTTTTTGCAACGCCCACCTCCTTTCCGCAAACGCTAAAATCATCCGCTGAAACGCTGTTAACGAGATTAAGGAGAACGCAAGAAGGCGTCCCATGGCGATTCCGAAAAAAGTGAACTTTTCAGACCGTTTTGAAATGTGTAAGCAACTTTGGGATGAATGCATGAGTTTCCAAGAGGAGTACATCGAAGAGGCGCCACTGTCAAAACACTATGAAAGTGTAAAAATAGGTTTTAATACCAGCAATAGATTTTTTGAGGAAAAATTATTACCAGCAATGCATTATTACCAGTAAGCTAAGTTTCTTGTTAAAATAAATTCGTTCCATACATTCCCAGCAGACCTCATATACACACATGCGAACACAAACGCACACAAACGCACACAAACGCACGCAAGAACACAGACGCATGCAGTGAAAACTTACTCAGGCTAATATAGACATAGATTCTCAATAATGCATATGCACATACAATAAAGCACAGACATTAATATTGTTATTTACACTGTGATAAACACACACACACACGCACTCACACACATTCACTGACTCATACACAAAGCTTCACTAAGATAGACCGTCCTGGGTAAGACGATAAACTACGTCCAACGGCAAGGCCTCTGATGAGGAGGTTTTGAGGAGCGTGGAACCACCCCTTAATTGCTGGTGTTCCCAGGTCCACAATGATCGGGAGTGGTTAGGGTCCTAGCTATGAGTAAATAGTTAACCCCCAAACTGAGGTCAAAACACTATGTAAGTGTAAAAATAGGTTTTAATACCAGCAATAGATTTTTTGAAGAAAAATTATTACCAGCAATACATTATTACCCGCAGTACGTTTTTGAAGAAAATAAATATTACCAGCAATACATTTTTGAGGAAAAAATATTACCAACAATACATTTTTGAGGAAAAAAATATAATCAGCAATATATTTTTGAAAGAAAAAAATATTACCAGTAATGCATTGTTGTAAATAATTATTACCGGCAACATATTTTTGAAGAAGAAAAAATTATCAGCAATACATTTTGGAAGAAAAATAAATACATTTTTTTTCAAAAAAAAATATTATTTTACGTTTTGAGGAAAAAAATATAACCAGCAATACATTTTTGAGGAAAAAAAATATAATCAGCAATACATTTTTGAAAGAAAAAAAATTACCAGTAATGCATTGTTGTAAATAATTATTACCGGCAATACATTTTTTAAGAAGAAAAAATTACCAGCAATACATTTTGGAAGAAAAAATATTACTAGCAATATATTTAGAAGGAAAAATTACCAGCAATAAAAATCTTGTCGGTATTAAATAACCCGTTGAGATTGATATGCCGTAAAACTGTTATGGGAACTTACCCATAATAATAATGGACTATTCCTGACATTATAAATACTGCGCCTCTCAAGCGGTATGAGGATAGATTGTAAGACGAGGAGAGATAATTGAGAGCATATTGTAAGGACATTGGAATAGTGATACTTGTCGAGACAACATATTTCACTCTAACCAAATCTGATAGTCATTACTAATACTTCTACTTCTTTGTGTTATATTTCTGTTGTAATATATCGTCGTATTCCATACTTGTGTTCGTGTTATTCTTTCATTGGTTCTAACGTTGGACCATCACCGTGGTACAAGGAACTTGGACCATAACAAAAACAAACCAAACCAAACTAACATGTATACACGCAATAATATTTAAGTAATTATTTGATATTTTAAATCCGAAAAAAATATTTCTTATTGCCATCAATGTTATATTGGGTAGGCACACATCGTTCCTGTCTGGAGGAATGTAGAGTGAGTAGTCATGATTAAATGTAAATTAAATAACAGAATTATCCAACAAATAGGATTGACAAAGTTTGCAATAACAAGAAAAATAAAGAACAGGGCAATACATTAATATAAAGCAAGCAAACAATATATGCAAGGCAAATTAACATTAATAAGACAAAGCAACAGTAATAAGGCAAAAAAGTTCACAAACTAAGAATTGGCGTCGACACCCAAAAGCAAGTTCGAACAAACGAACGTAATGGTCTGACTTGAAGACGGATCGGGACTGAGTCAGATGAAACCGAAAACCGGCCTATTTTTTTGCCTCGGAAAAAATCCCAGCATGCATTTGTGTGCTTCTGCCTATAAAATGGGAAGGGGCGAGTATTTTGCAATCATTCTTCAGAAAATTGGAATCAACAAGGGACATTTTCTTTAGTAAGAATCTCGATCATTAGACCAGTAGACATTAATTTCACTTTAAAAAAAAATAACAGGAATATCTAACCAAGCACGTGTATCCAATAAATATAAGACCAAGATCTGAGATTTCTTTATTTGGTCTGATTGGCACGGAAATAGCCGCGAGGGTGGGATTTTTCTGTACCCCCTCAAAAAACAAAAAATATATCCAAATACAAACACATGCACGAATACAAATATATATATGTATGTTAATGCTAAACACACTCTTAATTATATGTTAAGTGCAGTCATAGTTTTTGTTTATCAATTTTATTCTTCAAAATATAAATTGCCTTTACATTTTATTCAATTATATTTTCACCATTACTAGCAGTAACTTGTTGCCAATTATCAGGCAGAACTTCAGCACCTTTTAAGTAAAATTCTGGAGGTTTGGCGTGAAAAGGTTTTGGAAGAACTCTTGAATTTTGTCTTCATTAGAGAATGTTCATTAAAATCTAATGTTAGCCGTTTTCTTATAAGGAAACTGTTGTAGCATACCCACAGACGATAATGGGTATGTCCCCATTCACATAAATACAGTAATAAATACTGTATGTCGGTCTGCAGTCGGAGATTCGTCTCCAGCTGTGCTGGTCAAACTGTCTCTGGGCAGAGACGGTCCCCAGATGAGGCTATGTCGAAGGGCAGAGTCTCATCTCGGGAAACAGCGACCCGACCCAGTTTTATACAGGGTCTACAGGGAATTTTTGACCGAGCCTACAGGCTCGGATACGCCACATTAAATTCAGCCTTGTGCCACATCTGACCGCGTGGGGCGGTTGGTAGATATCCTGCAGTTGGAGATTCATTGTGGAATTCTCTTGACTCACTTCTAGCAGTTGACTACTACTTCTACGCGCCGCTGGCGAATCTTATATGCGTTATCTTTATTTTAAGTATTATCGTTCATTACCAATTTTCGTTTGGTTATTCTATTCAGTAACTTTCCCTAGGTTACAATAAAAACATTCAGCATTCATTGATCGAGTAGACAGTGCTGCTGTTGGTTGAAATGTATAAAATCTTTGTTTTAAAACAATTTTTATTCTGTCATCGTTTTTTTTCCAGTATTGTTTGGCAGTTTCCTTCCTAACCTTTTGTTTCATGTAGATTCGAACGCTCTTTCCATTTTCCTTAAGACTTCCTCGTTGCTTACATGCTGTGTCCATGATATTCTCATCATCCTTCTGTAGAACCACATCTCGCCTGATGTTGCTTCTTCATCTGTGAGGAACTCCTCAAGCTTTTACAGCTGTTTTGGAGGACTGATATTATATATATATCAGTTCAGAACACTTTTTAAAAAAATTCCAATGAAATTTTCCTGTTCCTTAATTCTTAGCTTAGCTTTTGAAAGGCATTTTTTGCTATTCCCAAGTCCTAAACTGATGTGGTTTCTGTTATTTGGTACAGATCTTTGTGTGTTATTCAGTAGCATCCATCTACAATGTTCAGCGAAGGATGATTTTTGACAAGAAACTGAGGCTTTAGTTACCCAAAGCCATTTTTTCACGATTGATCTGAGAAAGCGGTTGTATACAGCTGACAGTTTAGATATTTCAGAACAGGTGTGACGCCAAGCATGACAATTGTATGAAAGTCTCGATCTGTCGAGAATATTAAAGAACATGACTCAGGTTCGTGTTTTGGTTTTGCAAGTGGATAACGGCTCGGATTGAGGAATCGGAGAGCCGAGTTCGAATTCCAGTCGAATCCATTACATTCACTTACCTGCTAATACTCGTGGGAAAGGTATGCATCCTCTTCTTCTCCCCACACCTATGGTTAAATAGTAGAACATACCGGGTTCTATAGCCTTGTGTGGAAACTGGTCTAACGCAAAAAGAAATGGCAGCCTACTGTGGAAAAAAAATCTGCCTCGTCAGTGATGTATCGAAAGATAGATGATCGCGTAAGCGTGTGTCACGTATGGCACATAACTGACTGAAACAATGACTATAATTAATTGATCTACCTATAGTGGTTTAGGCATAAAATGGTTTATAATAATGTATATTTATGCCGAGTTCAAATTCCGGTCGAATGCATTGCATTCACTTACCTGCTAATACTCTTGGGAAAGGTATGAATCCTCTTCTTCTAACATATGGTTAAATAGGAAAACAGACGGGTTCTATAGACTTGGATGGCAACTGGTCTACCGCAGAAAGAAATGTCAAACTATTTGGGAAAAAAATCTGTCTCGTCAGTCATGTATCGAAAGATAGATGATCGCGTAAGCGTGTGTCACGTATGGCACATAACTGACTAAGCATTTAACGCCACTGACCTCGCTGGCATTTAGACTTTGACCTTCTCAACTGCGCAATCTCTCACTTAAACAGTAGACTTCCCCACGTGTTTCCCTAGTAACTCTAACGGATACCCTTCGCTACTTGATTTCTTTCTAGCTTCCACACCGGATTCATGTCGTGCTCTGCAGCTCTGTTCTCTTAGCAACTCTGACCACGCAGTAGTGTCTATAAATAACTCTTTCCGCTCTCCCATAAGGCAAGAACCCACTATTTACAGAACGTCTTTCTGTTATCAA